TGCAATGTTCTGAAAATTTTCTTTTCGAGAATTGGCAGACTGATGAAATGCAACGTTGCATTACTTTATGTAGAAGTAATTCAAATTGGAATGTTTTGACAAATCTTTCTTTCCGAGAATTGGCAGATTAAATACTGACATCTTTCTTTGTCTACAAGATATTCATTGGAATGCTTTCTGAAATGTTTGTAATAATATTCTAATTGGAATGTTGCAATGTTATGACATATTCAACGTTGCATAAAATTCTTCTCTACCTCACTTCACGTCCAGCCAATCAAATCACTTAAGGAAGATTTTTCCAAGAATCGTGATATTCAATATTTCAATAAATCAGTACCCATCTTGTTCATTGTGCATTCTCAATTCGTCTCTCGTGGAAGAAGATTACGTTGAGAAGTTTTCTTGAACCGTGAAAGCCGTTTAAAAAATATTGGTAAGACTCAGTAATCGTATATACAGCAGTAAACATATTTCTATATAGTTAGGTAGTAATTCTCTAAATTCCCATAATACATTGAATTTGACTAAGGTACTTTTCGGTATACAATTTCATTGTTATTCATTGAACCTTCACACTTCCTTTAGCTATATTTACAGTTTTCATTATACATGATGTTGTCGAGATGACAGCGAAACGTTGTCTTTAACAACTAGTTTTCTTCATGTACTACATAGAAGTTGTCGACGATTTTCTTTGCCTAGTTCACAAACCTCAGCCAGCACCAGCTTTTTTTGAAATAACAATTGCAAATTGTCTRATTTCTTGAGACAAAACTAGAACTGGTACCTGGAATTAAGTAGTTTTCACCAGAAAAATATATTTGAGCGAGCAGGAGATCGAGAGATATGAATGAGAACCGAAGGTATGCAGAACGAAAGTGAAACTGCAACGATGCAATTTTGAAAATCGAGCAAATTGAAGGAGCCATTAATAGACAAGGCTTGTCGATTCAAATAATTTAAAAATTGTTTCAGAAGCATCACTCAGTGTAGCTCACTGTATGTGACGCTAATCAAAACAAACGAATCTGGGAGTATGAAACTGGCTAGGAAGCTTTCAACAATTCCGATCTCTGCGAAACATTCAGACTCTTGTTTTTCATGGACTGTTGATCAGACAGGGGACCGATGTAAATGTCAAGAGGTTTTCTAAGAAAAGCGTTTGTGCTAATGGAATGCGATGCTGCATCTTTCTATGTATTAATTTATGTTATTCAAATTGGAATGTTTGTGCTAATCGGGAATGCGACGCCGCATTGTTATATCTACCTATGTATTCATGTTATTCAAATTGAAATGTTTTGCGAATATTTCTTTTCGAGAATTGTGAAAGTGCAACGTTGCATCAGATATATTTACAGCTTTTGGCGAATAACCTACTTTCTTTAACGAATTTTCTTTTTATAGAATATTGAATTCACTGGATATTTGATTATGAGACAGTCAAGTGAATATGTGTTTGTCTTTTTAGAAGAACAATGGACCCCAAAGGAAGTCAAGGCAGTGGAAAATCTCACACCCCAATGACACAAGCAGCTGCTTCACGCATACAGTCCTCGAATGCCAAGCAACATGGTGGTCAAGTCCAAAGCGGGTCGTTCCCTGCAAGGGCTCAAGCTGCTGCAGCCAGGAATGCCAAGAAATGAGATGCCCTTGTTCATGTCTTGTCCTAGATTCTTAATCCAAAAATACTTACTAAATGTTAAACCTTGTTGAAAGTATTAACAGTTACCTATAAATTAATATCTACTATCTACAATGTAATCGATGAAACCCAGTAAATAAATAGTCTGTCTATAAAGTATCTATTTGTGGTAATTCTATAATATTAAGGAAATCTAGTTATAAAATTTAATGTATTTAGTATTGAGTGTTAGCACAAAGGTGGTTCCTAACAAAGTTAACTTTGTTCCTAATGAGGAGGGTATATAAATATATATATTTCAAGTTATCAAATTTATGACAGGTTTTTCATAAAGGCCATTAATACCATTTTTTTTAAGGACATAAAGATTTTTAAAGATTTTTCTTTCATGGTTTAGATATGCTGCATCTAGGGGGGCTTTTATTTATTTGCACATGGGTGGGGGGGGGGGGGATGGCAAAATCATATGGCAAGCTTTACAAACATAACCCTACACCCTCCATGGTAGAGGCAACAATTGCATAAACTCCCTTTCATTACCCTGAAATAGATCTCAACCCCCCTCAATATACAATAACCCCCAAACACTTTCTCAAAATAGCATAGCCCGCTACAATTTTGTCGACATCGGAAAACGGGCCAAAGCAACCCTTAGATGTCATAAAGTGCACATCTCCTTATTAGGTAGTGTACTCCTCATTAGTTAAGGGGGGGAATAAGTTTTCTTGGCAAAAAACCCTTTGAAATATGTCACCAGGCTTTAGTATCTGTGTACTACCAATGATGACCTGGGAAAACAATAAATAGATAAATTAGTTATAAGAAGTAATCTCAATGGTATTTTGATAAATGACAATATCATTCTTGCATTGTCACCAATACCACCATCTTTGTCATCAGCGTCATCATCACCAACCACCACCACCATCATCATCGTCATCGCCAATCACCATCGTCATCATCATCAACATCATCACCAGCATAATCATCACCATTATCATCATCACCAGCATCATCATCATCATCTTCACTAGCATCATCACCATCATCATCCACTAAAGATATCATCATCACCATCATCATCACCATCATCATCACCATCATGACCAGCATCATGACCAGCATCATCATCATCACCATCATCATCATCACCATCATCATCATCCCCAGCATCATCATCACCATCATCACCATCATCATCCACCAAAGATATCATCATCACCATCATTATCACAATCATCATCACCATTATCATCATCAACAACACATACCTGTATGTTACACCTGTGTGCTGCCAGAGCCTCTCTTATCTGTTGCACCTCAGAGCAAGTGATTCCACCAATAACAAACAACACCAGAAAAGGTAGCCCATTTGGTCTTGGTTTACTGACGTTCATGAAAAGACTGTTGAGCAAACAAACAAAATCATTTCCACCAAGACAATCAGTTCCTGCATAAGTCAGCATTATCAAATCCTATATTTGCATAAACCTATTTCAAAGACAGTTTTCATTGGCAAAGGCGACATGCAATAGGTCATTCCAACATGGAAATAGTTTTGTTGAATACAAAGAACATTGAATCAGTCTCAGAAACACAAGTCATTCCAGCTATTCTTGGATCTTGGAATGACCTATCTCCTATTGCTTTTCGCCTATTGCCTATCGCCTTTGGCGATGACAAGGTTTTTTGAAATAGTTGTATACAGGTATTTTTAAAAATTCTTGAATGCTGCATATCGAATAGAGTGCAAAGCCTCATAACTGTGAAATAGTACTACTTGATTATTTAGTACAATATTAGCACCAACGAAACGATTGAAAAATGTGTGTGTGTGTGTGTGTGTGTGTGTGCTGTTTTGAGGAGATATATGGTTTGCACTCCAATGGCATACTGAATAGCTCAATGCAGGTTTAAAATTAAGGTGCCGAAATATAAATAAAACCATTCTGTTTTTACATATAATAAAATATCTTAAATACATTATCTAAAGCATGTACATTTAACCTGAACTTGGCTTCAAAAAGCTGTTGTTATTATCTGCCACAATGACACGAGTTGCTAGTCATTATGCACTATTCGGTATGTACTATTCAACATTTTTGAAGTAGCCGTATGTTTCTGTGATAATGAGCTTGTAATAAGGTCACTGTTGAACAAGGTATTACCTGAAACCTGTCTTGATGTAGTCCTTAAGACCATGGGATTTAAACTCGATGTCAATTAATTCTGGTTTATCATCACTGAATATGGCATCAATGATCTTGTGGGAGAAAAGATATCAAACAAAAACAATAGAAAATAACTTACTAGACAAATGTTATCAATCGTAGTACAAAGTTGAGTTATGTTCTTCAAAATTCAAAATCGGCGCTACTAAAAAGAAAATCCCCCCAACCCTACCCCTATCCCCTCTCCTTTAAGGGATCAAGGGTGGTGTAGGAGAAGTGGAGAACTCACCACTCACACCTGGGGTGTCTGGTTTGATTTCTGGACTTGAGGTTACATTTTGGTTTTTTTGGTTTTCACCCTTGAAGGTTTTTCTCAGGGTTTAGCAGTTTTCCTTTCTCCAGGTGCGCAAAACCTAACACGCTTAATTCTGTGAGGTAGTCATGACTTTGATAAGCCTAGAGGTTATTTCAGGGTTCAATCTGTGAGTTAGCCGTGCCCTGACTTAGATCAGCCCAGAGGTTGTTTCAGGTTTCAATCTGTGAGTTAGCCATACCCTGACTTAGATCAGCCCAACTTTGTTTCAGGATTTGATCTGTGAGTTAGCCGTGCCCTGACTTAGATCAGCCCAGAGTTTTTATCAGGGTTCAATCTGTGAGTTAGCCATGCCCTGACTTAGATCAGCCCAGAGGTTGTTTCAGGTTTCAATCTGTGAGTTAACCATGCCCTGATTTAGATCAGCCCAGAGGTTGTTTCAGGGTTCAATCTGTGAGTTAGCCATACCCTGACTTAGATCAGTCCAGAGGTTGTTTCAGGGTTCAATCTGTGAGTTAGCCATGCCCTGACTTAGATCAGCCCAGAGGTTGTTTCAGGGTTGGATCTGTGAAATAGCCGTGCCCTGATTTAGATCAGCCCAGAGGTTGTTTCAGGGTTTGATCTGTGAGTTAGCCATGCCCTGACTTAGAACAGCCCAGAGGTTGTTTCAGGGTTCTATCTGTAAGTTAGCCATGCCCTGATTTAGATCAGCCCAGAGGTTGTTTCAGGGTTGGGTCTGTGAAATAGCCGTGCCCTGATTTCCCGATTTAGATAAGCCCAGAAGTTGTTTCAGGAGATGGATAAAATTTGCAAGCTTTTACATAATATCTATTCAATATCTGTATTGTAGTGAACTCACTTGTTTTACTAAAGGATTGTAAGATGCTTCCTCTAAAGCTGTTTCGTCTTGATATAAGCTCCTAGAAGGAAAAATTAAAGAACTTGAGCATTAATTTTTGTGAGAAATAAAGAATAACCAGGTAAAATCTATTAGCCATTGCAAGGTTGAGAAAAAAAAAAAAAGTTGAGTTGACACAAGGGGAAAACGTTTGCGCATGCGTGCCTTTCAGCACGTTTTCTAAGAATTTTGAAGAGTTTGAGTGAGAAAATAAATGTTTGTTTTCTCCAAGTAAACAAAAAAGTTCGAGAGTATACTTTTGTCTGACCAGGATACTGTATTAACAAACACAATATGAAAGAATTACCCTTAAGTTTCAAGCATGGACACTAAGTTTTGGCATTTTGTAAAGTCCAATTTATCAGGCATGTTTGAAAGTCAAATTTACTTATGTTTTGACTAATTTGCATACGGATTCAGAGCATGCGCAGACGTTTTTCACTCGTGTCGGTGCAGTTGGCATTGCAGTGCATTGTTGGACTGTATTAGGGAAAACATTTCCAACATGGCGGCTATTTCATCATCTAAAGGTGGTGTTACACGGACCAACTTGCAACGCCGATTTTTTGCGCAACACTGTTGCACGAAAGATTGTTGTCGTGTAACATAGCGCCGAGGACGATTTTTCGCGCAATATTTCACTATGCAACACGTTGCAAGTTTTTCATCTGGCTTCAAAAACTTGCAACACAAGATGACGAATTTTCAGCAAATCGATTTGTGTAACATGTCCATCGCCGATTTGACGCGCAACAAAATAGCGCCGACTGTAGAAGAAGTAAGTTTAAAGAGTACAGCAACTGCAACGATTGTCTAAACCTACTGGAACAGACAAGATAAAACTTTTGTAGTTGATAAAAAAATGATAAAAGCAAGAAAAGAAGAACAAAAGATAGCCGTGAGTGAGTTGGCAGCGCGTGGACTGAATACTAAAGTAAATGTTGCGCAAAAAGTTGTTCCCGTGTAACATGTCGAAAAAATCGACACACAAATGGCGCAATAGCGTTGCACGAAAAATCGGTGTTGCATAGTTGTTCCGTGTAACAGCACCTTTAGACAGTCCCAAAATGCAATGCAAATCCAACTCGATATGTCTTTTACTTAACCTTTGAATGGCTAATAGAAAAGATTCTCTTACCTATGCTGCTTGAGTTCTTCTCTGGCGATTCCAACTCCGCTGAGCTTTTCAAAAGCATCAGATACTTTTCGTCTGGAGGTTTTTTCTGTAATCTCATTACCTGTAAAAATATGATTACTAGTATTAAATTAATTTATAATTATAAGAATTCTTTATGATTGTACAACGATTTGAGTAACTATTGTTCTGAACTGACTACTTTCAACCTTCGATTTGAGCCTACTAGTATTAAATTAATTTATAATTATAAGAATTCTTTATGATTGTACAACGATTTGAGTAACTATTGTTCTGAACTGACTACTTTTCAACCTTCSATTTGAGCCCACGATGTGAGCGCGCTCAAAAGCCGCTTAATAGTCTTCACGATTTTATTGAAGAACCAACCATTCACGTTTTGAACTTTAAGAGGGCAAAACCCTCAAATTTTGCACAGGACCCTATTATTTATTTTTTTGTTATTTTCCAGAATAACAGGTGTTATCATATGACCCGCATCTGCCCGGGCGCGCGCTCTTAAAAAAACGTTCGGGAAAATGGCGTGAGCAGGACCGTACGGCTTTGAGAGAGCAGGGCCGTACAAATCTGTACGGCCCTGCCCGAAACCTGCGACCAAATTTTCTTTCTTTTATTTTATTATTTTTCTTTTCGTGAGGGTCATATGATAAAATGCTTATTGACTGAGTTAGGTCGGGCCGTACGGGAAATTATTTGGCTCTCGGTCATTTGTACGGACCTCACTGCGCTCGGTCCGTACGGCATCACCTCGAGCCAAATATTTTCCCGTACGGCCCTCCCACTCAGTCAATAAGTCATAATTTTTCAAAGTTTAAGACAATTCTGTTCATTAGAACAATGTAAAAAATCATTCTGTTTGTTTTGTGTTCAATTTTTACGATAACTTGCACACCGTAGAACCTGAACAAAAGTATTTTATAACTATAGTGTAAATATATTTTGAAAATATAGTGTAAGTTACGTGTTCGGAGAAAATTACTCATGTCTCTTCCTTAGCTTCCGTTTTATGATTTTTTTTTTTGTTTTTTGTTTTTGTTTTGTACAGAGCTTGATTTTCGCCATTTTTCTTCAAAAATTGTACAAAC